GCAATAGAAATCAAGATTATATATTACATCTTTAGGAGGACCATTGTCTAGTTTCACCAGGAAAATATCCTCTAGGATTGGGCCTAATGGTGATCCCATGGCCAAACCACATGACTGTCTATACATTCCTGTATTGAAAGGAAAGTTTACGTTCATTTTACACCTTGGAAGAAGTTCCGTTAGGGATGTCGCAGAAATTCCAGTCTCTACACCTTGCTTTATCAATTCATTACCTATAAAATGAAGATTCTAGATATGACGGAGAAGATTTGTAGCTCAGGTATATGATGGTTAATTTGCAAAGCTTTCATCACCCTACTAGGCAACATCTTCAGCGCATACCTCAATTTATCGAAGTGAGCTTTTAGATTTCTCCACGAGTTTATTAATCATCTCTCCTGGTGGATGAACTTGAACCTGGTAAGTTGTTTTGTGTGTTTTCACGACTTCTAGGCTACCTGTATTGAAACTGATTGTTTCTTTGACTTGAACTTTGACCATTTGTGTGTGAGGTTTCTTTCTTATCGGTTGATAAATTCTGTCTATCTCGATGTGTCTATTGATTGATGATTCGCTGGAATACCAGTCTTCTAAAAATTCTCTAACATTCTTGGTGTTTCGCCTGTCTAATATTTGAACGTTGGTTGTCCCAGTCGAATGAATGTCCGTGCTGGTCTGTTTGTAGTGAGGCGATATGAAGGAGTGGATGTCATGTCTTTTAACGGCTAACTTATGTTCGTGGATACGAAGACGAAAAGGACATCCACTTTGGCTAATGTAGTGTTTTTCGCACTTGTTACAGTTTACAGGATTGGAAGAAAGGATACTTATTCAAACTACCAAAGAAAGGAGAACTAAGTAAATGCAAGAACTGGCGTGGAATTATGCTCCTGTCCATCCCAAGCAAAATACTAAGCCGCATCATCCTGGAAAGGATCAAACAAGCCCTGGATGAAAAACTTCGACCGGAACAAGCTGGATTCAGGAGAAACAAGTCATGTATTGATCAAATCGCCACACTACGGATCATCATTGAACAAAGCTTGGAGTGGCAGTCACCTGTCTATCTCAACTTCATCGACTTTGAAAATGCCTTCGACAGCGGTGATCGAGAGGTGATTTGGAAACTACTTCGCTACTACGGGGTGCCGCCGACAATTATACATCTCATCCAACAGCTATACGACAATGCTGTATGCCAAGTAATCCACAACGGGAAGCTCACGGAATCCTTCGAAGTGAAGACAGGAGTAAGACAGGGTTGCCTACTATCGCCAATGATTTTCCTGATTGCAGTAGACTGGATAATGCGACAGACAGCGGGCAATGAGGAAACAGGCATAAAATAGACACACACAAAGAACTTGGAGGATCTGGACTTCGCCGATGATATATGTCTGATTTCCCACAAACTGGAAGATATGCAAGTGAAAAGTAACAAGTTGGCAGAAGAAGCATCAAAGATAAGACTCCAGGTGAACATAGAGAAAACGGAGGTGATGAAGATTCCCGGCCAACAGCCACAGCAAGAACAACAGACAGCAATCAGCATAAATGGAAGGAACCTGAAAGAAACTACCTCCTTTACCTACTTGGGAAGCATTGTTTCAACTACAGGCGGAACTGATGAGGATATCAAAGCAAGGATCGGGAAAGCAAGGCAAGCTTTCATTACTCTCAAGTCTGTGTGGAGGTCAACAACATTCAGCGTCAAAAATAAGATCCGGATTTTCAACTCCAATGTGAAGTCAGTCAGTGCTACTCACTATACGGATCAGAGACTTGGCGTGTCACAAAGAGCACCTCAAACAAGCTACAGACCTTCATTAACAGATGTCTTCGCTCAATACTCAAGATCAGATGGCCGGAAAGGATCAGCAACAAAGATCTCTGGGAGCGAACCAACCCAGCAGGAACCGATTGTGAAACAAATAGGCAGGAAGAAATGGAGATGGATTGGCCATACTCTTAGGAAACCATCAAGTGACGTCACTAGACAAGCCATAGCTCGAGTGGAACCCGAAAGGGAAGCGACGAGTTGGTCGTCCAAGGGTAACCTGGAGGAGATCATGTGAAGAAGAATTGAAAGCGTATGGGCAGACTTGGAGCCAGGTGAAAACTCTAGCAGAGAACCGAACGCAATGGAGACGCATGGCTGAAGCCCTATGTTCCTCTAGGAACTAAAGGAAATAATAATAATATAATAATAATAATACAGTTTATTTTGTCGATGATTTTGGTTTTATCTTCTTTCGTTGTTCAGTCTTTTGGTTGACATAGAACTGAGTTAAGTGATTTTGTTGGTTTGTGTGCTAACCTCTACGAATTGACATCACTCACTTCAAACTGAAGCATGCGCTGAAGATGTCGCCTAGTAGAGCGATGAAAGCTTCGCAAATTAACTATCCAGCTCAGAGAACACAACCACATCAAAATGAAGACTCTATTTATACTTTTGGTAGACTTCTTTGAGAAATAATGAAGATATTCATTAATTTGTCAGTGGAGTATCATCACTGTTCTTTTGTCTAGTGCTTATCTCTGAATGAAATCTATCGGAGTCTCGTTCTCAATTTGAGCATCAAAATCGATGTACTTTCTACCAACCAGAAAGTCCTATAGTCAGGTTTCATGGTTATCTGTGCTGTTCCCCAAAGCGTACCTGTAACCAAGAAGGAATTGCCTCCCTCTGAGAGACTTAAATCCATGTCACTTAGTGTTGCAGTCATAGACGTTGCTAGTCACTTATTTGGGTCGCTATCAACCTTCTGTATCAGAAGACATCGGCTCGATCGAGGCTGCCAATACACATTGCTGATGATGGCCAATCAATGCGACGAAACCTAGTTTCATGGTTTCTCAGCGAATAACTGCAATCACGACAACTGATAAAAGGATCACTGAATTCTGTGTCCCAAGTATAGAACAACACATAACTACTTACTTCTATCAGTAGTATCTACCAGACCAAATAAAAATCAGTATTAAAGATAAGAAGAAACAAATAAATTATTAGTTTTATTGGTTTTAGACGCCAGAGAGAAGAAGAAAAAAGAAAGAATGCTAATTAAATGAAGAATCATTTTTATTACCATTCAAAAAGTGATAATTAAATTGATAACAATCAAATTAAGTAGACACACTAGATTGATTTATGATTTTTCAGGCATTTCGAATTGAAAATGGCGCTTTCACTTCATAATGTCCTACAGTAAATCAAAACAAAATTATTTCAGGGCGTAAATTCATGCATTTTATAAAACTACTTTCTGAAATAAAACGGGTGCCTCCAAGAGGTAGGAAGTCTGCATCTTTACCATAATTCCAAGTGGGTGGGTGGGTGCGGGATCTGTTAGGCATGACGCGGGGATGAAATTACAGATAGGGTTATGAAAAAGAAGTGGATTGATATTAAGACGGGTAAAGTGGGTCAAATTCTGCGAAAAATAAATTGAAATTATATGGGTGATAATGAACAGTAAATAGGCAGAGAAATTTGAACTGGAATAAAATTGATCAAGGCAAAGACAGGGTTCTAACAACAGATTTTTGAATACATAGTTTAGATTTTTGTGCTCATGATATGGACTTTCAGATAGGTTGATAAATCAAGCTGGGATGGGACTCGGGAAGACGTCTGCAGATGGAAGATATCGTAATTAGTACTTCGTAATGAGGAAACTACTTGTCATCTTATCAATACAGCTCTTTAGAAAACTGATTCTTGTATATCAATAGTAGTTCCTTTAAGTAGTGGATCGGAACACACACGTCTACATTATTATCCTCAATGAATTTGCATATAAAGCAAATAGTTTCAGTGAGAGGAACATTGGCGAAAAGGGACGTAGAGTCCGTTGAGATCATTTTCTTCCCGGACACATTTGTATCACTTATTGAATCGACGAATTCAAATGAATGTGAGATTATTTCTGATACGTAGAAGGATGTCTACGAGCCATTTGGAAGTAGCAGTGACATGGGGAATTTGTCATATCCACGATTGGACGTAGTAGCGCGTCCTCTTTGTGCACTTTCGGCAGACCACATAAACAGGGAATCACGGAACCTTAGGGGCGTATTTGCTCAAATAATTTAGAGCTGAAAATCGATACGTTCTTCATCTTCTTCAGCATTTGTGTTATCTTTCCTTCATTTTGTTCCGTTTGGTCTTTCTGGGTAATTTCTTTCTTTCTGAAGAGCTGTATTGATAAGAAAGAATATCCGGAGCACTACTGGAAATGTCTTCGTTGTAATTTATTTGCCATCTCTCTAAATCTAAAGTTACAGGTTCAATATCCAAGAGAAGACTGATAGGTACTTGAGAGGGAAATCCCGTGAAAACCGGGTAGGTTTTGGACTAGGAATTGGATGTAGTGATCGTATGTTTACCCTTCGACAGATTCTGCAACGTAGGCATACGTACCATTCAACACACCACCTGAGGTCGGCATTCTACATCGTCGGTTGGAAGTGTCTATGGCAATGTTTAGCTATGAATAGAGTGCTAAGAAAGTATGTCACTCTAATTAAAGCATCCTACTGGAAACTCCCTCAGAAGTGTGACAGCTTATGGAGAGTTGTTATCTGAAGTAATTATGACCAGTAGTGTTTGTCATGGATGCCCACTGTCTGAATTTTTGTTTAATTTTATCATAGATGTACTAAGTGAATTGACGATAACTGACTTAAGCGATGTAGGGACTAAATTATTACCAGGGAATACTGTTATGAGCTTAGAGTGTGTCAGCAATATTATCCTCGTAGATGAAGATGCTACTGAACAATTTAAGGAGAAATCTTCTCATGTATGGCATGCGATTCCTTTCTGTTAAGTTTAACAATTACTCTGCAGGGCCGGACTACACGGGCTCCTCCTATATGTGAATAGTTCTGTGTTGAAACTCAGTCAGCTAGTTAAATAATCGCATATCTTATTATAAACATTTTTAATATCCTCATTTGCTAATGAAGTATCCTATCTCTGTTTGATATTATAGCTCAGTTGTGAAGCTGTTTTCTCAGAGACCCCGTCAGAAAGTGGTAACCAGCTCCCGAAACTTGTTTGGTACTACAGACAACCAGAGATTCCAGGTGATGTACCCATACCATCACAATTATTGCCAATAAGTCCACCACGCATGGAAACATTGTCTATACTACCACAAGATGACTACAAAATTTCTCTTTCATCGGATGCCTACACCTTCAGAGATGATAATGCTGAATTCCAATGTCAAGCGTTTATGGAGGATGAAAAACCTGTTGCGACAGAAGTCATTTTCATACAGAGTAAGTGCTGCTTTTTGGTGAGATACATAGTGACCAGTTTTAACTGCCAATTAATTTCCTTAACTTTAATATTAAATCACAGACTGACACCACTTGTAGAACCATTGAAGATTTGGGAGTACTGAACCTTTGTTTCTTCCTAGTTGGAGGCTCTTCATTTTGTGCTCATTCGATAGAATTAGTGAGAGTTTCTTTACACAGTTTGACTTGTTCAGCAGAACAATGCCAGAACCTTTGTCTGATCGAGTCATTGTCAGGTTTTCACTTGATTTCAATTCTTTGATTTGCTTTCAATGTTCTTTTGAGAGCACATTGTGTACCCTAGGATTTTTGTTGATGTAGTCAATGCAGCAACTCAAAACCGTTGATTTGAAATGTTCTGCGCTGTCATTTGAGATTGGAACCAAATCATTCATCTGACTAATCAAATTCTCGAGGTGGACTTTGGTGTGCAATTGATTTACTTTTGACGATGCATCACAAAATTTCTGTCCAAGTGACAAGAGTTGCATTTGAATCGGTGAAAGTGAGACATTAGAAAACTTGAATACATATTTCTTGGGACAAAACAGAAAAGCTGCTTCCTTGGTGACGGATTTTAGGCTCTGGTTAAGTTACGTGATGATATCATCTTTTCTCTTCTCTGTAACTATATCGACGTAGTGCTCGAATGACGTACGTTCATCAATAGTCAAATCATAGAGAATGTGGGAGGTCATTGAGACGTTTTGTTCCAGTTCAGGTAATCTATATTGGACGGCATCAATATGATTCTGGGTGTGTCTTCGCAGCGTGCGTGAATTGGGAGATATATGATTTCGTCCCAGATTTTCCTAGAATGCTTTCGTGTATTCATGCTTATACAGATAGCTTTTCCAGAAGGAAATCTTCGCATTCACTTCAGCAAGCTCGGCGGATGAACGTAGAAACTTGTTCAGTTCCTTTACCCTAGAACGGTCCTTAGTCTTCTTCAAAGCACGGAATATATACATTTGATCATAGGGAACTGCAACTGTCTTTTTATTATTCCTTATGATCAAATGTATATGCCCTGTGATTAGTACTCATTCATTACCCAATAGGAGATCAAACCAAAAGCCACCAAGCTAAGAGACGAACCCGTTAACCATTCAGACATTTGTTAAGAATCCCATGACCCACAAAGTCTAACTTCTATCAATTTGTGATGCACAGAACTATCGCAAGTCATTCGCATCGACTGGTATTTGTTCTTACACACAACTTGATGAACCCTACTCACTGGTAACGACTTTTCACTAGGACTCCAGTCAACTTCATTGTGTAGTCAGTCCCCAGTGAGCATTAGATTAACTTTTCTATAGGTTCATTAAAGCTGGTTTTAATTTCAGCCCGTTCATTTAATTCCCTTAAGGATTCGACTGATTATTTAATTGAATTTTAGATTTTCCCATCGATTGATTGGATCGAAGTGCTCGGTCTCAGGTTAACATGTCGGCTTCTTGTGCAGATGCGTCGACAATGTCTGAGCATGTTGTGAAGTTACTTGTCTTTTAAGCGCTGAGTTCAGCACACAGGTTTCGCGCTATTCGAGACTCATCAAATGATTGCACCTACTTCTTAGTGAGTGGTGCAGAGTGCTATCCACTCACCTGTTGAGTCATGATAGCCACCTCCTGTAAAACGGGTGTGATTTGAGCAAGCCCATATAACAAAATAAAGCTAATAAAGATGGTTAGACATATCAAGAGGAAATCACAAATTTCATTAAGTACATCTTAGCATAACCGTCACTCAAGAAGTGATTGTCATGGTTCAGTGGTCTCTGACGCTTGAAGCTATGGGTGCAGACTTGTAGTCCCAGTGAGAATATCATCACTTGATAGGGTCCATCTACGTTCACCTGGCGAATTCCGAATAGGACGAAAGCTGCATCCTGGATTCGGCTACTAGTGGCCACCAGTCCTAAGTAAACTAAGGCATCTATTCAAGGAGTCTATATGTCAGAATGAAGCTGTACATTTCGATTAGATATATATCGACAGGATATCACAAATATAAACGAATACAAAACAGATTGGTATCAATTTTAAAAAAAAAGAAATAGATGAAATTGAGCGAAAACAGAACCAGAAAACTGATTATTCAGCATGAAGTCTTTTTTTTCAGTTTTATTCGAAAATACCCAAAATTTTATCTATTATTGTTATGATTATTATTTCTTCTTAATGTCTGACTTTCACCGTATCAATATGTATGTGCATACAAGTATCTATTCCTTGTGTATATATGTACGCATTGACTGTATCAGCAATTGACAAACGACTAGAGGACGTGTTGGTGTTGTTGTTCTTATTATTGTATATTCTAACATCTGGTGTGTTTTCACCCCGGAACATATGTTACAGTTAAATGAAAAAATTTACCGTATGTATGTAAGCTTAGGGCATCTTTTCCTTTCCTTCTGCTATGCGTCTTTTTCTGTTTTCAAAAGTATCATAGGATTGAAAATTACTCAAATATTTTGGAGAAATGCGTTATCTAGCAACAGTGTTGTACACATCGCTTTCTCTTAACGTCATATTTTTTTTTCTCCACGTTCCCCAGTGGAACATAGAGCTTCAAGCTAGTGGCTTGAAGTTTCTTAAGCAGTTTTTATTTTATAGGATGGGGTTGCTAGCCTCATGCCCAACCTTTCCTCTTCACCAGCATTATTTCTAGCTTAGTGAGGTAGAGAAGTGCGTCGGCCAGGGATCGAACCCCGGGGCCATGTGCATGGTCGGCGAGCGTCCTAACCGCTATGCCACCGACGTCATATGCTTTGATGAAATAGAAAAAGACTCTGGGCTGAAAGGGAAAATAGGGACTATCAAGCCAAACCATGAGACTAATTCATGAATTCAAATCCTTACAAACTAACACACTTGAAGGTTAATCTAGTGCCTACTGATGACCTACTATAGGATTAAGTTACCTGAAGTCCCAGTGGGAATTCGTAACCAGCGGAGTCTGCCGAGTTGGGTGTAAGAGCAGATAGTCGCCGTGAAAACTAGAATACATGGGCCAGTGGATTCTGTCTCAGTGGCTGAATCATCAACAAAGTCACCGTGGAACTTGGAAAACCTGGGTTCGATTCCTGGTACATTCATGAGTGTTTAAGACCGAGGAGTTTCAGTATTACACGAAATGTCTGTCCAATACTTCTTGGTTTCCAGAGGTTCTCTAACTAAAGTCGATTCATAATCAAACTTGATTTTATCCACTAATGGCTTAGGTTTTCTAAGGTAGTGTAGATTTTCCAGACAGAGACCTATAATTCAGTCAGAAATGTTAACTTAGGAGCTTAACTGACCGGAATGTATTTATTCTTCTTACATCATAGGGAATAATAAAAAAGACAGTTGCAGCGAAGAAAATTTTCTTTTCGACGAAATCATCAGCTAGGCTGTACATTCGTGTATTTATCATAAATTGGTAGGAAAGTTCCGGAATAATCCCCGGTCAAGGGTCAGATTAATAAAATTACAATTAGGAAATAAAATGCCATAATAAACAGGGGGACGGATAAAGCTCAAACAAAGTAGCATCATAATTACTGAGAAGATTGACATATTGTGCAATTATTGGTTAGAAATGTAGAAATAACAAAAATAGACAGGATGTTTGGATAAAATATCCAGTGGGATCATAACTACTGTGACGAATAATTGTTTATGCAATCAGGGACTAAATATGTAGAAATAATAAACCGACAAATTAGACAGGAAGTTCAGATATGAAAATATCGTAGTGTAAATAGGGATTAAGAAAAACTTAGAAATAACATAAATAAACAGGAAGTTTGGATAAAAAAGGCAATGGGATAGTCACTATTAAAAGAATTACCCGTTTGTGATGGCCATGGCAGGGACAAGGGTTGGACATGTTTCTTTTGGATACATAGCGTGGGTTTGAGCTTTTGGATGACTAGTGCCTTGGCTATGCCCAGATGTCTGTATTTTACTCCCTTTGATAGGTGTGATGGAATTTTGTATATTATTTTGAAGGATTTTTCGAATGGCGCTGAATGTCCTGAATATATTCTTACATCCTCTTCTCCATACATTATCTTCTACATTATGTGATGACACCTGAAATCATAAAGATGTTTTGTAATTCAGGTGCACTCGTTTTGGGCATCCTCGTATTTTCCAAGCTGCAAAGGTTCCATTGTCCTTCTATACAACTTATTCAGTTCTAGCCTTTAAGACATGACTTTAAATGATGACTCTTTACACGATAACAATAAGTACACTTACATGTAACCATCTCAGCTGGAATACACTAATGATGTCTGGATATATCGATTTAGTAGGACATAGTAAGCGTTGTAGGACGCTTGCTAGCTACACAGACGGTTCAGGTTCACTTCCCAACCGACTCACTTGTGAACCACACCCAGTTTACTGACCAAAAGTAATCCAGAAAAAAGAGAAAGGGTTATGCATGAGGTAGGCAGTCCCACTCCACAAAAAACAAGTCTGTGGCTACAGAATCTTCTAAAACCTTGGAGCCATGTGTTCTATTCGGAACGCAACCTATAGTCATCACTCACTACATAAATATACCCTTCCCAATAAAATCATGCGCAGAAGTGATAGTTAGTCTTCTATGACAACTAAAAAATCAACGAGTATTAGCAGCATGGAGTAGCAGTGTGGCGTGTGCTACTGAAACGAACTCGTCAGTAGTATGTACTATGATATTTTCATTAAAAATTCACATTGAGAGACTACCGGTTGACGAAGGTGTAGACAAGAAAATGGAAGAATGTTCTTATCAACAAATTTTTTAAAAACGCACGAAAGTGTCGAAGAGGAAGTGGAGCGTAAAAGAAACGTGGTAAACAGTAGGACTGGAGCTCAGTTTGTGGAGTATATGGTTCTCCACCCGCCCATGATTATATATGTAACTCTTCCTAGGTGGTGTCGATGCTGGGATAGTTAATGTGCGCGTAACACTTGGGCATTGTGGTAGTATGTAATTCCATTTCAGAAATATCACACATAGCAAAACAGTACTATTTACTCGAGGACGCTTAGAACACAACTTCGAAACTTCAACTGCATAGTTTTCTTTATTCCTTCCCATTTGTCGTGGAGGTAGTAAAATTCTCCGGATATCCTACATTGGTGCTGAATCATTCCTGATGCACGTATTCTCAGCTGATTCGATAAATAAAGCGTCACTTATCAATCTCGTCCTTCACATTGTGATGTTAGACTTCAAGAATATCATCTTATCCCATCATATTTTACGACTGGGTGCAACTGCATGTAGTGGAATATCTAAGCTATTTTCCACGTTTCTTATCTTATTAGGGACTAATAATCTAGATCTTGCTAAACTTTTGTGTGCTGCTAGTCTCACTGACCCATCCTTCTTCTCTGACCAATGTAGTTGACTTCACAATCATTGTAGGCCAAAATAATTTGTTTTTAAGTGAGCTTTCGGGTATGAATGCCACATTTACTCCTACTTTTCTAAAAAGTCCACCTAAATTTTCCCAGGTTCCTCCTTCATACAAAGACGTTACCGCTGTTGTTGTTTATGTTTACTTCGGCTATCTCCTACGGGAGGATGAGCCGGCTTCATGAACATCTCGAATCATCGCTGCCCAGGCGCGGCGATCTGATGAAGAGAGTTCCTGAAGTTTCATGGGAATTTGCTACGAGTGATGTCCTCAGAATCGCTCGGCCTTTTGTTTGAGAGTGCAGCTCTAGCCTTTACACAACCAAGTGTGACCTACAAGGCAGTAGGAGTGGAGTAGGGAGTCGACTGTCCATTGGCAGCCGGTGACCGGAGTTTGGTTCATACGCCTTTTTGAATGGGGCCAGACATCCAGGACATCCAACAAGCCCTTTGTCCATACGTCCGCCGGTGAGCTCCAGTGAGCTTCATACGTCAGTCGTTGGAGGTTTGGAATCAGGGTTTAGCCATCTCCCCTAGACTGTCATCCAATGGACAGTCAACCCGGTGAAGAGCGCCGGGCATCCGCTTTCGCCCTCTCACTTTGGTGAAAAACACCGCCACGTGAAGGCAGTGAGTAGGACTTCCTCAGGGGAGGCTATGTAAGACGCCCGGTCATATGGGAGCATTTCAAGAGGTGTGCGGAGGGGTGGCCAACCCGCAGCACAAGGCACCCATCCCCAGACATCCTGAGGCTTTGGAGGCGTGATTATGAATGACATATTGTGTCTGAAACGTTTTGGTTATTTTCGCAGGCGAGAAAAGCACATCAGATTCTTCGGATAATACACACTGATCCGTTTTCTTTTCAGTGAGTGTAGTTCTGCTATCACGTTTAAATAAACCTGTATGCTATCTGTCTGTTCACATTCTGCCTCTCTTTTTCTCAATTTAAAACACCTTTTAGAAGTTCGTGAAGTATTCGATGTTCGCATATTCGATGAAGAATCACGTAGTAGACTTTATGCGTTTACTGGTACCTCAAAAACATTGACTTGTTTCGTGGATGGTAAGCATTCAATATTCTAATTTTTTTCCTCCTAATATGTATATTTTATACTGAAATCTAAGGTAAGCAATATATTAGAAATGTATATATACTACTGACGGACATAAGTAATACAGAATTATTCCTTATAAATATTATTACTGCTTGTAAACTGCCATAAAACAATCTTGACTCTGAATTAAATAGAAAGGCTGTCTAGATCACACAGATCTACCTAACAAGCGTCATTTATTTATAGATATAGGCCATTTTTGACTACTCATATAAATCAGTAGTATAGATGATTGAAGTGAAAATTCTCAAACAATTTGCCAAATTTAATCCATCCGCCACGATACAATAGGTATTGTCAATGACTTCTTCTAGAATTTTACTCATGATGAAGATAACATCCATGTACCGCTTGTAAAATTCCGACTGTTCTGTGGTTGACTGTGAAATCAAGGTACACAATGAAGCCATCGGCAAGGAATAGACCAAGTCGAAAAACCATTGCTACCCGATTTTCGCTTCAGTGTATTTGATTGTTGAGTAAAATCTGGACATTTTACATGGATCTTAGTATTAGCCTTTTGTTATACTTAGTGTATACATCTAAAATTAGACTATTTGAGTCAATGAACTCACATAGGTAGCCCACAGTTTCTGTTAAGTGGATAATTTATCACTTAACTAATTAGTTGTCAACCATCTCAGTCATGTAAGACTATTCGTCGAACCCCTAAATAAGCGAATAACTTTGAAGTCAATTTACTGAAAGCGATCTCTTCGTTAGCTTGTGTGTTAATCACACTACATGTAAACTTTTCATACCTTAAAAGAGAAATGAGGACGTATTTGTCTTGATTTTGAGAAACTGACATCTCCTTTTCAAAGATCATTATGTTTAAGGGTGTGTTTCCCTTAATTGTTGATCACACTAAGTGATAAAGATGCAATAAAAGGTACAACTCATTATGAATTATCTTATTTACACCCGAAGCATTCAAGAGTGCTTTCCAAAGAAGTTCAGTTATTGAATTACTTAGAGAGAATGTGTACGGATCACCAGGCCGTAATTGATTGGCACTGTTTATAGGCAGGTAAAATCACAACTCTAAACGAGATGCCATGTATGCTAAAAAGGATATCAATAGGTCTGAAAGCACATAGTGGCTCTGCTAATTATTATGTCAGCGTTAACCGGATTAGAATCAGAAATTTATTATATGACTACTGAGAAACACTAAACATACGATATTAGTTTGTTTATTAGATGTATCACACAGTGATGAAACAATATTATTTAATGGATGACAAAGTTTCGAACAAAATTTTTATTGCTCATAATCACATCAATTATAATCACACGACTTCGAAACTTGAGTTTCATAGTTTTCTTTATTCTCTCCTATTTGTCGTCGCAGGGGTAGTAGGATTTTCCAGATGTCCGGATGAACAAGTGTCGAATCATTCCTATTACACGTGTTTGCGGCTGATTCGATAAGCAAAGCTTCCGTTGACATCAATCTCTCCCTCCACCCTGCCGTTATATTAGATTTTAGAACTGCCATCTTATTCCATACAGCCTATTTTATGACTGTGTTGTGTAATTGCATGTAGTGAGTGCTATAACTGAACTATCCCATTCTCTAGATTTCTTATCTTATTCGGGTCAACTAATCTGGATTTTGCTGCTGGGTTTTTATGCACCGTTAGTCTGACTCACTGACCCTGTTTTACTACTCTGACCTATGTGTTCGACCTGACAATCATTGGAAGCTGGGTATAAGATAAACTAAATTGTTTTGTTTTATTGGCTCTACAGGCATGATCCTTTAACCAACAAAGCTTGTTTCTAATTAAGTTTGTGGGTGGTTTGAATGCCACTTTAATACTAATGGCGAAATGCATGTCAAACATGCAGAAGACAACACCAACAATAAAGAATCAAAATCACCAGTAGTAATTCCATACAAAGAAGGAACCTCGGAAACCTTACAGTGAATTCTTAACAAGGTAGGAACTGGATGATTTAACTACGGAGCTCCTATTGTCCTTCAACAGTAACTTGAAAATGATTTGTGCTGTTGGAATTTTCTACGAAAAAAGTAACCAGAAGAAGTCAGAGGATCACTAAAGATTAAAGAGCAGTGAACAATTGCTTCTTTCATCCGAACGAACTAGCGCTTTCAAAAGGCATTAGATCCAGGATAGTCAGAATACGCGACTCACTTGAAATCCTATGACTTATGAATTTTGATTTCGATCAACAATCAATATATCTTCACTTCTATCCAGTTCCGCCGGTGAGTCCCCAATTTAGTGGACTGCAGAAGTCATAACTAATTTAGGCTCCAGCATGTACTTTCTGAGTCATTCAGTAATGAACAGTAGATTGAAATTGGGCAAAGATTTTGTAGCTAAGCAAAAGACCTAAAATTTCTTTTATTTTATTGAAATTTTTAGATCTTACTACTGGTGAACGTGTAGAACCATCAGGTTATCAATGGGAAATGAATTTAGGCGATGGTACAGGTATATGGATACGTGAAACAGATCCAAGACAAGGTGCTGTAGAAATCTCCGGTTGGAGATCAAATCAATTATATTTGAATGATCTTCGTTTACCGAGTACATCAATATCAGATGAAGCTGTTTATGAAGTAAGATGTGTGGCATCCTACAACAACACCTATAATACATCATCTCATCCATTCATTATAAATGTTAGAAGTAAGTCGCGTTAGAGTAGTTTTGAAGAACTTTGTTGTATTTGTGTACATTTAAATTTGTTGTTTTTCACTCTTTTGAGTTCCGACCGGAGTATAGATCTCTAAGCAGTGGTGTCTTTTCACTGAGCTGGGTTGCTAGCCAAACAACAAAACCTTCACTCTTTACAGGGTTTACTTTTGGCTAAGTGAGGTTTAGCAGTGCACTGGCCTGGAATCGAACCCAGACCAAGCGTGTGTTTGACAATTATTCGATCACTGAATCGCTGACGCATGTTCACATATGTATCGGTTACTTATTTTACATTAGGTGCAACCTGTATTAAATTGCACGATAGTACATACTACTGAATGGTATGAGTAGTTAGGAAACTAACCATGTCAGATCAGTGACACGACAGATGAGCTTGTAACCTCTTCTGCTAGCGAAAACAGGATTCCAGCTGAACATAGTGAAGACCTCATTGTCTTCGAAGTTACCCAGCTGAACAACAACAAACACTAATTACCATGAGTGGCAGGAATCTAAAGGAAGTCGACTGTCTCACTAACTTGGACAACATCATCTCAACTACAAGTAGCTCCGATGACTATGTCAGAATCAATCGCAATCGATAAAGTAAGGCAGATATCGATTACATGTCAGGAAAATCATTTTATCAACAGGTACCTGCGCTTCATACTGAAGATCAGTTGGCCAACCTTAAAGGATAAGCAACAGGGAACTCTGGCAGCAAACCAGCCAACAATGTACTGCAAAACAAATATTATGACTATTGTTTCCTTTAGTTCCTAGAGGAACATAGGGCATCAGCTAGACGTCCCAGTTGCGTTCGATTCTCTGCCAACGTTTTCACCTGGCTCCACGTCTATCCACATGCTTTCATCTCCTCTTCACATGACCTCCTGCATGTCACCCCACCCTCGCACTGACGACCAACTTTCCGCTTCCCACTCGGGTTCCACTCGAAGGCCTGTCCTGTGATGTCCCTTGATGGTTTGTTTTCTCAGAGTATGGCCAGTCAATCCACCTCCATTTCTTCCTGCTTATTTGTCGTACAATCGGTTCCTGGTTGGTTCGCCTCCATAGATCCCTGTTGCCAATCTTTTCTGGTCCACCATCTGATCTTGAGTAGTGAGCGAAGACATCTGTTGATGAAGGTCTGTAGTTTGTTTGAGGTGCTCTTCATGATGCACCAAGTCTCTGATCCGTGTAGTGAGTATCACTTACTTCACATTGGAGTTGAAAATCCAGATCTTATTTTTCATGCTGAATGCTGAGGGTTGATCTTCACACAGACTTGAGGGTAATGAAAGCTTGCTTTGCTTTCCTGATCTACGCTTTGATATCCTCATCATTTCTGTTCGCCTGTAGTTGAAATGATGCTTTCCAGATAGGTAGGTAGGTAGGTGAAGGAGGTCGCTTCTTTCAAATTTCTCCTATTTATGCTGATTGTTATCTGTTGCTGTTTTTGTTGCTGTTGTTGTTGGCCAGGCCTAACTAGTATTTTTCTGAAAAACACTGAGGTAACCTTCAATTCATGCCACACACCAAATAGGTTCTTGGATGAAGTGTGAATATGAGGTCGTCATTTGAGCCAAATTCTCAGGGTCAAATGGAGAAGGTGATGTATTATTGCGTCAAATGGGAGCTTAACAGTATTCGTAGGGGCACTAGAGAACGAATAATAATAATAATAATTTAAATGTAGACTTCCTTATTTATTAACAGCTGATGAATAAGGAATTAACCATTACTGAGTTATACTCTGTGATTCTGGCCATAATGTTCTACGCACGTATATAAGATGTTCATGTTATCATTTAGGTGTAACGGATAGAAATCTATTGTGACTTTTATTCACTCGTTCTGTACCACCGTGAGACAATTCTCTATGGTCTCATCTTGATCCATTCCAAATGTCTACCTGATGATGTATCAAAATTTCCAAACCCAAAAGTGGCAACGCTCTAAAATGTTATCTTGAGTATCCGGGATGACAGTTATGCATAGATTTATTAGGGTTTGAAATGTTGAGGTTATACCAGTTACTGGATTGAAAAAGTTATACAGATGCGCTTAATTAAAAATCACCGGTTGGGTTTGCCAGTGACTGGAAGGTTCTTAACTTTCTTTAATTTTCCAGGTTTGATAATACTGTCACGCCTGTCTATGTCAGTAATGAAGATCTCTCAAGTTATTGTGTAACGACGTTACTTAGATATTCTGTTATAAATTTACTGCAGTAGACTTCATTAACCAGTACAGTTTATCAATCACACTCGCTTTTCCTGTGCTTACGATACTGTCCGTTTGTTCAAGGTGATTTCATATCTGTTGATCACACCTCCACACTTTATTGTCCTGGATTTTCTCTTCATGGACCTAACTTTCTCCGTGTTGGTATAATATACAGTGACATGAAACAATAGAGAATGCCAGTCGTCATCTTTGTAGCTAGTGAAATAAATTGAGCCTCCTCCTTCTTTCATTGATCTATCAGCCTTGAATAATGATTCCCCCTTATCATGAATATAGTTTCTTGAGTTAGCGAATAGTGAGCTCTCTACTCTTAATCATCTCTGCCTTATTATATTAAACTTACCTTTGACTGTATCCTTATTCTATTGTAGATCAGCCTACAATTAAATCAATACGCATTGATCGTGTGAAACCAGATGAAGCAGTTTTAGAACCAGTTGATCTACCGAAAGATTCATATGATGCTACACAAGATTATGAAATTGGATGTAAACCAGAAGTGACTTCAGGTGAAGCTGTAGCTACATGGTTGAAGGTAAGTAGAGGCTGAATTTTATTCCTTTTCCTGTAAGACCATGTTACTCATTTCCTCTTGGAGTGCACTATGATTAATTGGGACTGCCTTATTAGGTTTGTGTTAAGTTCTACGGTAGTTAGTCAGTGGTTAGTTACTTAAACCAAGGTATTCGTGTACCAGATTATGAGCCATACTTGTTGCATAAGTGATGATGCCAATACATAGGTAGTCATGCTGAAGAAGGGGTATCGAGATTCGAATCCGACACCCTCTGACTGGAAGGCTGAATGCTTAAACAAATGCGTTATATCTACGTGACTGACTGATTGATTGGTTTCAACAGAGAACTTGACACAGATGCGCAGCAGTTCAAATCGCCACACTCTATGTAGCTTACAAAGTAATAGAAGAAAGTAAAAGGAGATTCAAAACAGAGATATGAAGCAAAAAGAATAGTAATATCGAAGAACAATATAGTTTTATTGGATATTATAAGTCACAAGGAGTGGATGCATCTGCACAGTTGAGAACGATGATTTTGAGCCATACCACCAATCGTATTCAGCCACTGGCTTTTACCATGCTGAAGACCCCAACCAGAAAATGTACACCTTCCTAAGTGGCTTAAAGTGACTGTTGTGGATTTCATTGACCGATGCCATGTTTTGGTTTGACCACCACTAGCTACCTCTTTTTCAACTTTACTCTATGTCAGCTAACACTGCCCGTCGAGGAAGGCGGTGGCTAGGCCTGCATGCGTAACACATGTCCTAAACATCTCAGTCAATGTAACTTCACAGCCTCGTCTATTGATTTCCTCTCCTTACCTAGCACTCAACCTAAGCCTAACCTCAATATTGCTCACCCTATTATACCACTCCATATGGGAGATAGAACTCAGGCACCTATGATCAAAGACAACTAGCGGGTCTTTTCATGTCTTCCAATTTCAACAGCCACATCTCCCTCACAGCCACAAAGGAGGACAGAGCGGACTATTGAGCAGTACACACACCCTTTGGTCGATAGTCGGATATCACGTCTACGCCAAAGACAGCGTAAGCTGGCATATGCGAAACTAGCCTTCTGTATCCGTGCCACCATTTCGTCAGCAAATAACCCGTTGGGGCTGATGCAACTTCCCAAATAAGCGAAGTGGTCAACACGCTCTACCACTTCACTCCCTATTTCCAAGCTAGGAGTCAATGTAATCCAGTCCTGTAGCATCATCTTACATTTGGAGGGAGCGAAGTGCATACCAAACACTCGTTCAGAAAACTCTGCATTTTGTCAGCATCCCCACTTAGGAGGCAGGACTATATCATCTGCATATTCCAAGTCAGCCAGATTTTCCTGTGGTAACAAGTCAATCCCTGAGTCACTGAAGTCACTTAGGGTTAAGTCCATTAGTACATCAATGATAAAATTGAATAGAAATGGAGATAGTGGCCATCCCTGACGGACCACTGAATTATCTATTATTTCTTGTGCATAAACTAATACACACAGATACGAGTGGATAAAAAAGGCACGTGAATGGTTTGTAAAGCAGTTAAACTCAAAAGCGTAAATAAATGCTGGTGTTAGACTGCTGGCTTCGTCCACAACGAAGCATATCATTGATACGGTCCATAAAATTCATGTTAAAGCAGCTTTCAGAATTATATGCAAAAAAGACATGGATGCATTCGAAATTTGGTCAGGTGACAGCCATTCGTAGACATCAACCTCAGCTGCAAATTTTTACAAGCGTTCGAATCACTTTTACATTTTACCTTAAAAATCTGTCATGATAACTTGACGGGTAGTATTCTTCGAAATTCAATGTGAAACGAATTTCATTGGAATCCAAGACGGAAGTAGATATATGGATCATCATAGGTACACTGTAACAGCGTACTCTGTGGGGTATGGAGGTTATATTCCTGAAGTTTTGTGGTGCACATGTAACCATTCATCAGGCGAGGTAAAAGTCGACTTTTGTGAGTAGTAGTTGTTCTCACACTCAACTTTGTTTTCGGTAGTTTGTGTCTAAAAACAAGTTTGCAATAAAAACCATATTAGTAATGAAACATTTCTGTTTACAGTATTCCCTAATGAACTGTAAAAGTTTAATTATCGACGATTTTATGTATCACTTAATGTGAAATGCGTAAATCATTGAACATGGTATATACTACTAACTGAAATCAGTAGTCAGAACCTGCTCAAATCACGGAGTTAATCATAAATCAGGTGGTTTGATGTGATTCGACTCTCTGAATCGAGTTAATCAGGGTTCACCTCTGATGAGCTCGGCTCCAGATGAGTGTGAAATTGACATCCAATGTTTAAATCACATCTAGTAGGTGGTTTCTGACTACTGATCAGTTCAGATTTTCATTTATAGTTTCAGACAGAACACTTTAATCACCTAAATATTTTTGGTCTCCAAAGGAAACTGAAGCAGAATTTGTAAGTTTCAAATGACAAATCTAGATAAATGATAAATCACACAGTGTTGTACAGTTATATTAACTGGTGATGTTTCGAGCACAAATTATTGGTCATAATCATATCAAGTTACTCACACAACCTTTTGCTTCATTTATATACATGTGTGGAATCGATTAGATATTGGATTAAAATCAATGTGAGATAATGTACATTCAGAAGAAGCGTTGGTGTTGAATAACTATATTATAAAATTCATTAGGAAGATCAGTAAAGGCCAAAAACAAAATAAAAATAATTGTGAAACTAGTAATGATAAAATAAATAAGAGAGAATATAAGTCATCCACTGTAATACCATATAAGGAGGGGACATCTGAGGCCCCACGTAGGATTCTTAATAAAGCAGGAATAAGGGTGGCATTTAAACCTACAAACTCACTCAGAGACAAGCTTTGTAGGTTGAAAGACCCGGTGGATCCAATTAAACAAAATTATATAATTTACAAAATACCCTGCAATGACTGTGAAGTCAACTACATAGGTCAAACTAGTAGGTCACGGATAATTAGTTTATCAGAAAATAAAAATTTAGCTAAGGTAAGAATGAGTGACCCAGAGAAGATAAGTAATTTAGAAAAAAGCTCAGCTATTGCACTTCACGCATTAACAAACAACCACACAATAGGGTGGGAGAGGGTTAAAATTCTAAAAAGTAATCTAGGTAGGTGGAGAGAGAGGTTGATTACGGAATCCTTATCCATAGAGTCTACACCCAACACAGCACATGCAACAGAAATGACTCAATGCAAATACCAGAAATATGGAAGATATTATTACCACCAGTTAGTCAAATCAGAGGGGGATAATAAATAATCTCAAAATTATATTTCAATTCAAGCAAACCACAACATTCTAACAAATTACTTATTATGACTATAAGAACATTCGTCTTATTTCCCATTTAATTGTATATGATCAATAACACTCATATTGATTTTTATTCAAATATCTAGTCAATTCCACACATGTTTATAAATGAAGGAAAAAGTTGCGTGAGTAACTTGATATGATTACGACTGGCAATAGTTTGTGTTCGAAACGTGGTCATCAGTTAATATTACTGTATAACACTCCACTGTGTGATTTGTCAAAATAAAATCTTATCCATAATGGAGTTATACTCTACCACCACAGTGCCCAAGTTTTATACTTATATCACTTGATAAATGACTCATGCGGAAACGTAGATATAGATTTTCCTGTATGCTAACTTACCGATGAGCGCTAATAATTGAGGTAACTGCGCAGATACAGGTTTCTTACTTTTGGTCAAGTTCAGCAGATACTAAAACCTCCTCTGCGATTACACAGCTCTAATCACGTAGATTTTCGGTGGAAGAGAACCTACTTAGGTTATTTGTTGCAGTCAGTTATTCAATAATCCCAAAGTAACAAGAGTCTGTGACAGATTGATCACATGTTAGATGGTCAGAAGCGATCAGAAGGAACTCCTGAACTCACGTTCTGTCCTTGTTCATCCACACCAACAAGATACCTCTACAACCTCAGAGGAGTTAATGCGCCTGCGGAGATTCGAACTCTCGCTGTCCGTTGCAGCAATTAGATACTTTACCTTTGAGGTAATCGGGATGAGAATGAACGAGAATTAAAGCAGTTGGAACTAATTTCCTTTTTATGACACTATCCTTATGCTTATGTTTAAAAACAATATCCCTCTTTGTGTCATTAAAAATTTGTAGTGTTCTGATGATGAGTGTACTTCAACTAAAGAAATTGTACTGACTGGTGACAGATTATTCTTCTTTGCCAATTCAACAAGATATGTTGATGAAGGACGTTTCCGTTGTCAAGTTAGTTTACAACTGAAAGAATACAATTTCAAACTTGTTGAACATCAAGATGTTATAATAAAGCGTCAAGGTATGTTTGTACGCTCTACCATCCATTTAAAACCTATTTTTATGAGACTAATTTCAAAACTGTTTAACACTTTTAATTAGATGGTTTTGGTTTTATGACACGACCCACTGCATCACTCAATTATGTAACTACGTGGATTTAGGAGTGAAGGTATATAACTACATTTCTTCACAGTTCTTCTAGAAAAGTGTGTTAACCGAGATGATTTTTACACCTATGTGACAACCAAAGGTATTTTTCAAAGTTGTCAGATATAATACATTAGATTGTATCATAAAAATAAAACAAGACGGGAAGTTAGACACAAGTGTTTACAGAAAACCCACATATTCAAACTGCTATTTTGATTTCGCGCCATCCCATCCTAAGCCAGTAAAAACAGGACTGGTGAAATGTTTAAGTAATAGAGTAAAACAGCTAAATAGTACCAAAGAAAGTGTTAGACAGGAAGTGAGGCACACAGGAGAAGCTTTAAAACCTAATAATTACCTCAATAAATTAATTAAAAAGTATATGTATATTTTGATTTTTGATTATACCTTGATTCCACACCGTATTTTTGCTACAAGTATGGAATTTTCAGCATGTGATATCGGTCGCCCAAATTTTGCAGGCCGACCATAGATATCACATGTCCGTCGTCAGAATATCGAACTCCAGACCGTGTGCATAGTCGGCGAGAGTCTTAACCGCTGTGCCACTGTAAGGATAAAATTGACTATCGTAAGAAGGACAGAATGGATGACAAACATACACAAACAGAGGATAAAACCAAAAACGGGGAATTCAGACAGAAGCCCTGAAACTTTACATAAAATTCTTAATATAGTAGGAATAAATGTGGCATTCATACCTAAAGACTCACTTGTAAACAAACTATGTCGGTTAAAGGATCCTGCAGAGTCTTTTAGACAAAATAGTTTAGTTTATCTAAAAGAAAATAAAGATTTCAGCGAGGAAAATTCTTTGAAACAATTAGTTCCCTTTATGAATTTAGACAAAGCAATGTCTGAACTGTGTTATGCATTTGCGTATAACACTTTTCGAGTAATCTGATCACACACGGACTTGTCATAGGAATACATATGAAATTAATAAAGAGGTAAGAGGTGAGAAAATAGACTAGTTAGGTCAAGTTAAAAGGACATATTGAAGGTCAGAATAACAATGAAGATCACTAAACCAAATAGGAGAGGTATCAAAACAAATTTTACCAAGGAAGGTTTAATGTGATGACAAATTGTTGCTTTGAATGCATAAAGGTGGTTTAAACTTTCTAATCACAATAGGGCTTCCGCGAACTTTAGGATACGCACTCACCCAAACACGTTTTATAGATAGGTTTAAAAGATGTGTAAACGTCGATTTTATGTCCTATCACTATAATATGTTTCGCAATATAGGATTTAGGTCTCCTGTTCTTACCATTAGTGGGTTCTGAAGATTCTATTTATTTCTGGAGCCATTTAGGAATGTGCTCTGAAGCCAGCCCTTACTTTCAGAGATCGATGGGTCCTCCCTATGTATGTGCGTCCACACGTACATTCAAACTGGTAAATATAGTGGGAGGATGTGACATCATTTTCCACATGTTCGAAGGGCTTAGATGGATATATTGACTTCACATTCTCAATTATTATGAAATCAGCTGAGTAAAAGGTCTTTTTAACCACAACAGCGTTCACTCTTTGTCTAGTTGTCAAGCTGCTGTGATGCCCCATGTAGGGTAGTTTGATGTACACGTCTTTCTTGTTAGCGAGTTGGAGAGTGGGTCTTGATGTTTTGACGACTTTATATCTCCTGATGAACTTGTCTGGATGATTGTTATCAACTAGAGTTTGTGTGAACTTTCTTCCTTCGTCATCAAGTGTGTCTTCAGTGCATATTCTTTGGACTCTACTGAAGAGTTAGCTTACTAAGGCTCTTTTGTACAGAACAGGGCAGAAACTGTGATAATTAAGATACTGTACTGTCCAGTTAGGTTTGGAGAGTATCCTAAAGTTTGTGGAATCCCCACACAGCCAAAAAATAGGATGGGTCAAAATTACAGTTTTAGAAGCTAACATAACAATGTAGACATGGAGGTCAATAGCTGCAGCTTTATTTGATGAATCAACTGAGAATGCATGTAATAGGAATGATTCAACACCAGTCACGGATATTCGGAAAATTCTGCTACTCCTACAATTCCGTGTAGAGTTGTAGGTTCGTACTGTCGAAGAGTCTCCAATTAGGACGAAACAGCTGTCAAGTGCTCCTTGGTTTTCAATGATACCCTAACTGACGTTCCCTCACGAATAAATCTACGTTGAAGTAATCCAAATCCCAGCATAACTCATAATCTATTGTATTGTATTTTGTTTTGTATTTTGTTGAACAGCTGTTCCAGCAATCTTTAGCAGTGGATCAATCACATATACAACTAATGATGAAATGTCCTTACAATGTACGGATGAATCATCTTCACCTGAATCAAGAGTGGAGTGGATGTTTGAACCTGCTGGAAAACCACCACCAGAGCGTAGATTACCAAAAGTTATTGGAAATACTTATGCCTATGGAAGGATTTATATATTTGCGTAAGTTAATCATTCTCCAAGTTTCTTAACTGATCCGATATGCTTCAGAGAAGTATGAAAGGGTTATACACCCCGAATATTGCCTTATTTTTGCCTGATGTTAGCGTATAAACTTAGAAGAACTCCATTAGTCTGTTTCCTCCGTTTCTTAGTGCTCTTTTGGCTTCCCGCTCTTTTAAGAAACTGGACTCCTATTGGTTATTAATTCACCAGACTTATCATTGTGTTTAGCTGCACAGATGATGCTGTCTGTCGAAGCCAGGCAGAATCGGAAAAGCAAGTCGTAGCTTCCTTGATCTGAAATTAGCGTGGAAATGTATTGATTTGTTTTGTTTTTATTCCTTTACGTTCCCTGGAGAACATTGGGGTCTTCAAGCTAGAGGTTTGAAGTTTCAGTAGCAATGGCATTTATTTTTACGGGATAGGGTTTATAGCCACCTTCTCAACCTTGACTCTTTACCAGACTTATTACTGGCTTAAAGAGTTAAATGAGTGCGTATATCGGTGATTGAACCCCGGACAACATGAGGCGTGGTTGGCAAGCATTCTACCGCTGTGCCACTGACGCACGGAAATACACTACGCTCCTGTATGATTTGGAAACTTGATGTGTGATAAAAGCATTTCTAATGGACTGCAGACTCTCATCGACAGCAGCTTCTGCTCCATACTGAAGACCAAATGGTCGACAAGAAAGCTAAGCAAAAAGGGACTGTGCCAAGTAAGGATCCGACCAAAAATCTATCACCTAACAAGTGTGTAGAAAGAAATAGTTATGGAGTGAATAAATACTGATAAAATCAGAAAGTGACATCAGTAACAAAGCCCCTGGATGTTACTAGAATGCGAAAAGACGAGTTTGGCGTTAGTCTAAGGTGATAAAATGAGGGGATAAAAGCTAATAGGCCATTGTGGAATCTCCAGAGAAGAGACTGAAGTGACGATGCACCTTTGAAACCCCGTATTTCACTCGAGGCCAAAAGGAATCATAGTAATAATACATAGTGACGCCGAATTTGAGCTTCATAAATAATTTTTTTAAATAATAATAATAGCTTTATTCCAAACAGTGTTTGTGGTACAGGTATGGAATTTTCAGCCTTCATTACAATATTGCATCTAATTACCTAATAAATTTTATAAGATTTTAAAAATATAAAGCAACAACAAAAAGAAAAAAGAGAAATAAAAGAAATAAAAAAGAACGGCATTGCATTCACATATTTAAACAATGCACCCCAGGATATGATATATAAAATTAGTGTGTAATAGAATATGTGAGCAACAATATAATAGTAACAAAGAAAGGAGAACAAAAGCTAATGGGAACTATTTGTTAGAGTGCCTCAGTAAGTTGATCGTGTCATACCTAACGGATTTCTCATCACATAACAGCTGTGCCAGATAAGGTATTGTGGAGTTTTTGTACTCAGTAGTCCTAGCATATAGCCTCCTATAACTGCTTCTAGTTCTACCAGATGAATTGCAAGGAGAGAGCTGCGTATGGAGAGGGTGTTCGGGGTCTGACAATATAGAATTCGTTAGTTTCTTACATGACATTATATGTCTATCCACAATAGTGTTAACCAGTTGGTTTAACGATATCCCCTACAAACAGCTTTTAGTGCCCTATGCAGCGAAGCAAAGTCTTTCTTAAGTAGTCCAGGAAAGATTAATGGGGAGCAGTAAAGAGGGATGGTTCGAATATAAGAGTTGACAAACTGAGAAAGCGAAGACTGCTTTATACCAGACTGCCTTAATTTCCTAACGTAGAACGTTAAGCGAAACATCTCTCTAGTCACTAGCAAGATGTGAGAGGACCAGGAAAGATCGGAGGAAATACTCAGTCCAAGGTACTTGACATTAGATTTAGTTTCAACCTCTTTTCCGTCAATGATAGTGGGATCATGTGAGCTAGCTAGTTGTTGTAGGTCACGTTTTCGTCTGAAAGTGAAATTTACTACCTGACATTCAGACGGATTCAGCTTAAGACCGTTTGAATAGGACCACTGACTAATTTCCGAGAGAAAGTTATTTAGTATGGAACAGTCTGAGTGAGAGTTGACAGGCATAGAGACAGAGAGGTCATCAGCATACTTGACAAAATTTGCTACATCAGAATGGGGCAAGTCATGTAAGAAAAAAGAAAACAGAAAAGGAGAAAGAACAGCACCTTGAGGAACACCAGCTAAAGTAAGTGAGGTAGTGGAGGAGTACATCCAGTCACACTCAACCATACAATAGGATGAGATAGGATGACAGTTTTAAAATCTAATGTCACAGGGTATAGGGAGAGATTGATAACAGAAGCTTTGTTTATCGAATCAGCTGCAAATACGTGTAATTGGAATGATTCAACACCTGTCCCCTATATCTGGAAAATTCTACTCCCCCTACGACAAATAGGAGAGAACAAAGAAAACTATAAAACTCAAGTGTCACAGTCGTGTGATCACAATTTATATGATTATGAACAATAAATTTTGTTCGAAACGTCATCCAGTAAATAATACTGTTTCACTGTGTGATATACCTAATAAACAAACAAATATGGAAGGTAGTGGAGGACTTTCCATTGTAGACGGTGTACTGCTTCCTATCAGAAAAGTAGGAATGCAACCACTTATTTGTTCAGCTCTCACTCTGTGTTGCAGCAAGCTTACTTAGCAAGAGAGACCTAGGAACAGAGTCAAATGCAGATGTGTAATCAAGGAAGGCACACCGAACATATTTGTCTCCACTATCTAAACTAGAGACTATATTATGATATAGAACAACAGCGGCATCTAAGGTACACCTACTATGTTTATAAGCAAACTGGTTGGGGTCATTGAAAGGCTTTAAAGAAGGTTCAAGATTGAGTAAAATAAGTCTTTCCATAACTTTTAGAAAAGGTGAGGTAATAGCAATCGGTCGAAACTTAACAGTAGGTCCACTTGTTGATTTAGGCACTGGAACAACCTTGATATTTTTCCATGAGTCAGGAATAATACTTTTGGAAAAAGATTCATTGAAAATGTCGGTTAATGGGTAACATAAGATGTCAGCACACTTCTTAAGGATAACAGCAGGAACTCCATAGCTACAGAGAACAGAAATGTTTTGAACAGGAATGAGTTGAAGAATTTATAATGAATATGAATAAAGCAAGAACAACAGCAGGTTTTGCGGAATAAAATGGCACCATCATTGTTTATTTCGTTGGCCTCTCATCAGCTCACCTGCTTACAGGCCAAATTCATTATTTAGCATATCTACAGGAACAATTTTAACACACATGCACAGAGTTCATTTTTAAACAAAATTCAATCAATCAATATATGCATACAATAATATATATATAATAATAATAAACACTTTCTCCCTAACAATAATGATCATACACAATTGAGACTTTCGACATTACGTAACCAGATGAAAGAGAGGTGAAAATATCCAGTTACCAGGCAGGGAAAAGAAAGGCTGATAACTGCTTCTTTCTGAACGCATAAATCAGGTTTCAGGCGTTTGATAGAGATGGCTTCAGTAAACTTGAGGAGAATTGAACTCTTTTGCCTATTGATAATTTCGATGAACGATCTTGCGACGTCCACCTCATGACCCGCGTCAAACAGATGCCTGGTGATGGCACTGTTTAAAGCATTTGTTCCCTTTAGACATAGGCTTTTTGGTACATGGTCACAAAATCGTAGATATGCTCTTCTTTCTGTTCTTCCAATGCAACTGCTCCCGTAGATACATGTAAATCTTCATACACAGGAATTTAAGGTAGAATAATCCAAATTTTATCTAACTCACACCACCCTCTTCATTCACAACTCTCCCCTTGTATCTCATCAGGCAAAACCAGAAGCCTATATAGAAAACTATATACTCGCACTAGCAAGTACAAAAACTCAACCATACCCTACTTAGCTCGTGTTCTGTGCGATAAAGAAATTATTAGGCGTGATACCTATAACTTATTAAATGGTCAGTAGAACAACTGCGTCTTGTCTTTCCAACTCATATCATTTATAGCTGCAACATTTTCTTTCTTTCTTTTCCTTTTCTCTCTCTCTTTTTCTGTTATGTGCTGCTTTGCTTCTTTCCCTCGCTTACGCCAGTAAATATCACAGCTCCTACTTTTCTGACACCTTCAAACACTGTTCAGCTCTAGCTTTGTTACTGACATGCCAATGTGTTGTTGTCATAATGAACTGAGATTTCCTTAATCTATGTAGAATTCTATTTATTTTTAATGTACTAACTGGATGCACTACTGTAGCAAAAAGGCTGAGAATTCCATTCTGTATCACAAGTACTGTTTTGGAATAAAGCAAATTATTATTGATCGATTAAAAATGCCCATTAAAATTTTCAAAAGAATAGACACGGAACAAAGAGAACTCTTTTCGATGAATTCATCATCAGGTGCTACAATTATATATACATTATAATGAATGAATGAATGAATTAGTCTTAATGTCGTTCATAAGACTAATTCATTCATTCATTATAATGTATATATAATTGTAGAACCTGATGATGAATTTATCGAAAAGAGTTCTCTTTGTTCCGTGTCTATTCTTTTGAAAATTATTATTATTATTAAATTTTGTGGATTGTAAAGTTCATAAAGAGTGAATGGATGTGTGTATGTGTGACACTGACAACCATTTTTAGGTATTACACTAACAACCTCTAGTCATTAGTTCTCAGCATCTTCAGTGAACATTTTCTTGACAGAAGATTTGTGAAAATTTATCTCCGATGTATATGAACACTCTTCATTTGATTTTGTATAGGAAATGAATAAATTCAACTTTTCTTATTTATTTTTTTTCACATTTTATTTTATGTGTTTTTTTAACAGGATTGCAAGAGGTCAACTTATCCCTGAACATTCTGGAAAGTACACGTGTATAGCAACTAATCCTTATGGAACAGCTAATAGTTCTATTACTGTAACAGTAACTGAGGATCTTTCTCGTGGAAAACTTCGAGTGAGTCTTGTATATTTAGGTTATATATGTATGTAAATATAAGACAAGTGCCATTTCTAGCGATTATGGCATACTGTGGTGTTTAAAGCAGATTACAATGAATAAACGAGTTGCCGTCTTGTAACAACAGAAGATAAGGGCCAGGAAACAGATCGTTTATTAAGGAAATCAACACATATTTATCGATTTTCGTGTACATTATTATACATTATTGTTAGCAGAAAAACACAGTCTTCTGACTGGTTGTTTCTCACAGAAAGTTAATATTTCATCTCTTTATAGCTGTTTCTTGGATGTCAGATCATCTATCTGCTAACTGTATCTGCCTACGAAAAGTTTTTGTTCATATTTTTCTCACGACCAATATTTGGGACATAAACCTTGACGTAAATTAATGTCTACCAATTTAACTAGCAGCCAGCTCTCACCACACTCGTCTCCTCACCAAAGACTTGCGACTGAAGTTGGTTCGGTCTTCTTGGTTCTAAGGGCTTTGCTCGTTTGTCTTGCTGTCTGGAATCTCGTTGCTCGCTGATGTTCACCTGTTTCTCTTTGTTTACCATTGCGATTGTGTCTGCGTGACCCCATCTCAAAGTGACCCTATGTGGTCCTTCCCACTTTGGAAACTGTTTGCCTGACCCTGTCGCACATTCGTCGGTATTTCGCCTCACACTTTCATATGCTGCTTTCTCCTGACCTCCCAGCAGCGTCCCAAGTGGCAGCTTCATCGCTGACAGATCTTGAAGGCCACTCAGCTGTGAAGAAGCCTCGAAATCCTGCTCGAAGATCCATATGTCTCCATCGAAAGCTGCAGGGCACAGGCTCTCCATTTGTCGGTAGGCAGCGACACCAAATGTAACAACAGAATGCAAGTGCCAGGCAACATATCGTTTGTTTAGGAAATCAACAGATATTTATCGATTTTCATGTACATTATTGTAGATTATTGTGAGCAGACAAACACAGTCTTCTGATTGGTTATTTCTCACTGAAAGTTAACATTTCATCTCTTTGTAGCTGTTTCTTGAATGTCAGATCATGTGTATGCCAACTGTATCCGCCTACGCGAAATCCGCTTTGGTTGGTTGTTGAATCAGCCTTTGTTATTATTTTTCTCACGACCAATATTGGGGACGTACTCATTGACGTACATTACTGTCTACAAATTTGGCCAGCAGCCAGCTTTCACCACAGTCTGACTATTGCACACAGATAAATGATATGTGAGGTAGCTAACGCAGGGTGTTATCCTATGACGAAGGAAGGGACAAAGGATTGATGTGTTTCATCTCTATGCGTAATCCATCACCTCACTTGAAATTCCAGCAAACCAATAGTTGAGAATTAATGTGTGCGTCAGTGGCACAGTGGTTAGGACTCTCGCCGACCGTGCACATGGTCCGGGGTTCGATCACCTGCCGGCGCACACCCGATATCTATGGTCGGCCTGAATTTGGGCTACCGATATCCATGCTGAAAATTCCACACTTGTACTGAAAATACAGTGTGGAATCAAGCTGTAAATCAAAAAAAAAATAAATAGTGACTGACTATTGGATGAATGAAGTTGCTAGAAGTTCTGCTGATAAGTCATAACCAGTGGCGTCCATCAGATTGTGGGTGTGGGGACACATACTTACCAGTGATATCGATTATAAGTGGGGCTATACATACCATCAACTGACAGAATTCATGGGCTAACCTAATTTTAGAATAAAAATGGTGATAACTTCACTGATCTAGGAGGCATCGTTCCAACCACAGGCACATGGTACGGATGAAGATGTCAAAGCCAGTCAGAATCGGGAAGCCAGGATACAGTTTCATCAACCTGAAGTCAGTTTGGAAATCTTCTGCACTACCTCTCAGCATGCAGAACAAGATTCAAATTTTCAAAACAACCAATGTGAAGTCAGTCAGTGAGTCAGTTCTTCTATGTGGGCCAAGAACTTGCACTGTGTGTCACGAAAGGCATTTCCAACAAGTTACAGAGTTTCATCAACAGCTGTGTTCGCTGACTCCACAATGAAGATGAAATGGCCAGCCAGCCTGCCGGCCAGATATAATCACCAACAAGAAACTCGGGCTGGGGGTAAACCACACAAGAGACGATTGCTCAACAAATATGCATGAAAAAATGGAGATGGACTGATCGGGCATATGTTGAGGAGGTCGTCGAATGACATCACACTCAATGTAGACCATTACTCGAGTGCAATCCCAATGGAAAATGACGAGTAGGTCGTTGGTGTGAGAGTGCCATGGATGAGATCGTGTGAGTTGGAGGAGTAGATGAAAGATTATTAGCAACCATGGCGCTAGCCAGTCGAAGAAGGCAGCAGAGAATAGAACGAAGTGGAGATGTGTTGTTGAAGACGCATGTTCCACTTGAAACCCGAGGGAATAATAATGATCAACAATAATTTTACACATGCAATTATTAGCCACTTCCATGTGTATACATCAGTTCTTCTGCTCATGTCAAGTTACTTATGAAGACCATATGCGATATTGTTAGTAATGGAAGCATCCACCATGGTTTTCGTAATCTCAAAACAAATGGGACTGTTAATTATAAGAGTGCTAATTTCTTCATCAGCACTTTTTTTACATTCTTCAACGACATTTTATGCGGTCGAACGTAGTCTTTCTCAGAAGCTATTTGTAATAACTTCACATCCCTAACAAACGACATTCTCAACTAGCGTTTCATCACATAAAAAATCGCCTACAGGAGCAACCAGTATCAGCATGTGTTGTACAGCTGTTGCATCCTACTTTGGTATTTTATAGCAGTATGTATCTATGAACCAACTGAAAAATGAACCCAGGATTTTCAGGTTACGAATTCAACCCACTGACTATCCGGCCACTACGATGGAATTCCCTAACTCATGGATGCTCTTTTTCTTTCTTTCGTGTTCCGAGTAGACCACAGAGCTTCAAGCTTGGGGTTTGAAGTTTTTGATGTGGCTGTGTCCTCTCAGCTGGATAGTTAATTTGCGAAGCTTCCCCTGCTTTACTAGGCAACAACTTCAGCGTATACTTCAATTCGTTGAAGTGAGCTTTTAGATTTCTCCACGAGTTTATTAATCATCTCTCCCGGTGGGTGAACTTCAGAGTGATTGGTTGTTTCTGTGTGTTTTCACACCTTCTTGTCTACTTGTATTGGAACTGATTGTTTCCTTGACTTGAACTTTGACTCTATTTGTGTGAAATTTACTTCTTATCGATTGGTAAATTTTGTCTGTCTTGGTGTGTCTATTGATTGACGATTCAATGGAATATCAGGCTTCTAAAAATTCTCTAGCATTCTTGGTGTTTCCTCTGTCTAATATTTGAACGTTGGTTGCCCTAGTCGAATTGATGTCCGTGGTCTTCTGTATGCAGTGATATAAGGGAGTAGATGTCATGCATTTTGACAGCTAGTTTCTGTTTATGGATGCGAAGACAACGAGGACGTCCACTTTTGCCAATGTAGTGTTTTTCGCAGTTGATAAAATTTATTTTGTAGATGATTTTGGTTTTATCTTCTTTCGTTATTGAGTCTTTTGTTTGACATAGAACCAGCTGAGTCAAGTGATTTTGTTGGTTTTTGTGCGACATCAATTCCTAAAGGTTTAAAGCGTCTTGCGGTGATTTCTAAGAAGTCTTTTATATGTAATAGGATGATTTTCTTTGTGCTTTCCTTGGGGGCCTTTGATTTGGTAGGTTGGCTTGAGCGTAGATGCCTTTTGATGAAATTCCGTAGATATTCATTCTTTTGGAAGACATTCATAGGATATCTTTCTTCAATTTTCTTTAAGGTGGGAGTGCTGCAATAGGTCCTGGATGGCCCTCTTGAAGTTTAAGTGGCAATGGTGTTTTTTTACGGACTCAACCTAACTTCTTTATTGGGCTGAATACCAGTTAAGTATGGCAGAGATATGAGTCTCCTGGGAATTGACCCCGGACCAAACGCTTGTTTACCAAGCATTCTACCATTGAACCAAAGACACAACCACGAATTCTGACTTCTAATTCGTGATTTGGCACCGCCATCACGCATTAATATGGGCGAGTATCTTTCATTAAACCCGACTTGGTGTACCGAACGACGTCACACTAGAACTTCGGAAACTCCATCCTGTGGTCTGCTTTGGTGTTGATTTACAGGGATTTGACTGATTTCAAGCCTAGCCACGAATTAATATCATTTAGAGAGCCACTGGAAACCACGAAGGTCTGGACAGTTGTCTTGTTCTATTTTGGAACTAATCAGCGAAAAACATTTATGGTACCACGAAGGATCTAATTCTTTTTTTTTTATCCTTCACGTTCCCCAGTGGAACATAGGGCTTCAAGCTAGTGGCTTGAAGTTTCTGTAGCAGTGTTTATTTTACAGGATGGGGTTGCTAACCTCATGCCCAACCTTTCCTCTTTACCAGTCGTACTGTAACAACAGAAGACAAGGGCCAGGCAACAGATCGTTTATTACGAAAAATCAACACGTATTTATAGATTTTTATGTACATTATTGTAGGTCAATGTTAGTAGAAAATACAGTCTGTTGATTGGTTGTTTCTCACACAAGGTTAACCTTGCATCTCTTGTGGCCATGTCAGTTCATCTATATGTTAACTGTAACCGCCTGTCCACCTTGACCTTTGACCTCAATTACTGTCAACCAATTTGGCCAGCAACCATCTCTCACCACAACATGACTAATATTTGATACATAAACATTGACCTCAATTACTGTCCACCACTTGGCTAGTAGACATCTCTCACCACACTCGTCCCCCCGTCAAATAGTTTGGACTGAAGTCGGCTCGGTCTTCTCGGTTCTTGGGGCTTTGCTCTGTTGTCTTGTTGTCTGGAATCTCGGCGCTTGCGGATGTCCACTTGTTTAACGGTGTTTACCATTGCGATTGTGTCTGCGTAACCCCATCTCAACGTGACCATATATGGTCCTTCCCACTTTGGAAACTGTCTGCCTGACCCTGTCGCACATTCGTAGGTATTTCGCCTCACACTTCCATATGCTGCTTTCTCCCGACCTCCCAGCAGCGTCCCAAGTAGCAGCCTTATCGCTGACAGATCTTGAACGCCACTCAACTGCGAATAAGCCTCAAAGTCCTGCCCGAAGATCCATATGTCTTCATCAAAAACTGCAGAGCATAGGCTTTCCATTTGTCGGTAGGCAGCGACACCAAATGTAACAACAGAAGACAAGGGCCAGGCAACAGATCGTTTATTACGAAAAATCAACACGTATTTATAGATTTTTATGTACATTATTGTAGGTCAATGTTAGTAGAAAATACAGTCTGTTGATTGGTTGTTTCTCACACAAGGTTAACCTTGCATCTCTTGTGGCCATGTCAGTTCATCTATATGTTAACTGTAACCGCCTGTCCACCTTGACCTTTGACCTCAATTACTGTCAACCAATTTGGCCAGCAACCATCTCTCACCACAACATGACTAATATTTGATACATAAACATTGACCTCAATTACTGTCCACCACTTGGCTAGTAGACATCTCTCACCACAGTACTACTGGCTTAGCGAGGTAAAGGAGTGCGTCGGCCGGGGATCGAACCCAGGACCATGTGCATGGTCGGCGAGCGTCCTAACCGCTATGGAGTGGCCGAGCGGTCTAAGGATCTAATTCGCTACCTTAAAATTATTAGGCAAGCCAGTTGACCGTTTAACTGCTGAACTGAAATTCAGTGAACCATGATAAGGCATAACTTCACCATCATTCTTTGTCATCGGCAAGTATCCGCTATTACATCTGGTCCCGACTTCATACCAGAACTCCAGGAACTTTATCTTACAGATAGTCACTTATCAACATTAATTAAAGAACCACTGAAAGCAATACTTTTCCACTTATTGTACTAATTTAACTGTTTTTTTCTTTTTACCGCATTTTTTCCAGTTTGTTCGAAGAATCATTCGTCGTGCCATTGCTACATAGATGAAGCACGCAACAAGCACCACCAAATTTTTGCTTAGTAATAACTAAAGACGCTAAAGTTAGATAGAAGGACTGTTACACTACTACTACTACTACTACTACTATTATCTATATCATTATCAGTACTATATATCTCTCAATTATAACAATGTTTTTATCTATTTATGTACTGGGTTTTTATTCCTTTGCATTTTGCTGATGCATATACACACAAGCGCCTTCACTTGTTTAAGTGTCGTTTTCGTGTTGTTATTCTCTGTGTCTATCTATTAAATGCTTCTAATTGTTTTCGGCTAGCTAAAGACTATTATTACTGCTGTTATTATTATTATTACTATTACTGTTATTAGTATCGCTATTATTATTATTGTTATTCTACAAATAAATATTCTCTGCTTTCAGTATTGTTAGGATTAAAGAAATTTTTATTCAAATATATAAATCTGTGTTTATCATTACTATTATTATTATTCCGTTGCGTTCCGAGTGGAACATAGGGCTGGCTTCAACAACACATCTCCACTTTGTCCTGTTTTCTGCCGTCCTCTTTAGCTTGGTCCACGATTGATCAAACTCTCTCATCTCTTCCACACACGATCACCTTCATGTCACCGTCGCATCGACCACCCACTCATCGCTTCCTATTCGGAATCCACTCGAGCAATGGCCTGGCGTGCGATATCATTCGGTGGCCTCCTCAATATATGCCCGATCCATCTCCATTTTCTCCCACATATTTGTTAAGCTATCGGCTCTTGCTTGCTGGTTTGTTCCTGTAGTTTCTTGTCGCTTATTCTGTCTGGCCATTTGATCTTCAGTATGGAGCCAGCGAAGTAGGCAGTTGTTGATGAAAGTTTGCAACAGGCTGTCGGAAATCCTTTTCGTGACACGCGGTGCAAGTTTCTGACCCGTATAGAACCGACTTCACATTGGTGTTGAAAATGCGAATCTTGTTCCCTATACTGAGTTCGGAAGATTTCCAAACTGGTTTCAGCTTGATGAAGACATATCTGTGTTATGTTTTTTATATTTTAGTCTGCTTGTAAGCGCAATGTCGCTTGAAATTAAGTCACGCGTAGATAAAGGCCATCCCGGTCCAGAACAAACAAGAAGCCGGTCACTGTTTCTACGGTACTATTAATAAACAAATCAATAATTACATATACAACAAACCTTAACGGTTTCAAGAGTACAAAGCACAACGCCTAACAGAAGGCAAGGTACCGCTATCAGAGCGGAAAAACGTTAAAGCCAAAATTACGAACTAGCCGGATCAGACACGACCGTTCAGGTAAGCAGTCAGTAGAAGAATGAACCCAAGTAAGAGGTAGACAGAGCATAGGCACAAAGATAGAATTTAATTGGCTACTTAACCAATCAATAAATAAGATAAACTCGACAGAATAGTGCAAAATAAGACATGGGTCAGCAAAATAACAGTTCACAAAAATACTCTGATTGGGTCATGAGTTCAGCTGTCTGACTAAACAGATCGAAGTAAAAACACACACAGTTCATTAAACAAAGTGGGATAGACACGTTAGGCATGGATAATTGGGTTGCAACAACGCCAGGCTGATGCGGGACAGGTTGACTTGATTCAAGGATGGGAATTGAATTCATCTTGCACTGCTTTTATATTCATCCCGCCTCGCTGAATGTTAGACAACTGAATCTAACTATCTATTGTTGTAAATTCTAGCTGAAATCCATCGATTTTACCAACGTATTAGATGGTTCGAGGCTATCAGAAGGAAGCCTTGGACCTAAGTTTCGTGCTAGTTGGCACTCACACCAGTCAGCAAGGCGTATCTGCAACCTCTGTGAAGGAACTCATATCCCTTCTGAGATTCGAACCTGAGTCAGCTAGTGAGTGCTTCAGTCAGAGACGTTACCACTGAGTTACTCGGGCTGGCTTGCGACTCACCTCCTGCAGGACTGTATTGGATACTTTCATTGGACACTAGTAACTAGTTTGGCCTGTATAGTCCTTTGTTTAGTGCAGACTAAATTCTGTCAGTCAGGTGGCCACCATTCTAGGTAGCTCACCATCATGGTTCACTTTGAATTGTTGATATTGTCTTTGGAGTAGATATGACATCTGGCTATCGATCAGAGGAAATGAGTACTGTTCTGCGGTCTGCTATGTCCTTATTTAAGTCTGTGAAACATGGCTGTTGAGATTAGTAGAAGTATTAAAGCGGCTAGCTTTCTTTGACCACAGGCGTCTGCGTTAGATTTCCGCCGTTGAAGTTCGGCTTAGAATGTTAGGTAAGCACAGAAAAATCAATCAGTTGGGGGGTGACTAGGCCGTGTATTACGCATGCTAGGCGAACTGCTTCTACGTCGACTAAAGGTAGCTGACAAATGGATTAAGTTTGTGGTCACATCAAAATATGGCTTCGATGTATAAAGTCATTGACTGTTTCTTTTCAGATAGCCATGTAAGGAAGTACTGACTGCCTAACTAGAGTCCCCAAGACACTGGGAACCAGTGGCTTAAGAATATTTGTCCGATAACTAAAAATCGATGTGAATGTCGTCTTTACATTCACTCTTCATTAACTCCTAATTCCATCTCTGTCAGTCAGTCAGTCAAGTTAATTTCATACGAGCCTCGAAGCTGTGATACACGTCTTTAGATTACAAGTAGAAACACCTATTCCCATGCGATTCTTGATGTCTGCTGCTCCCTTGAATAGAGTCTTAACCAAGGTCTAGATTATCATTGTTTCCTTTAGTTCCTAGAGAGCCTCAGCCGTACCTCGCCATTGCGATCGGTTCTCTGCCAACGTTTTAACCTGGCCCCACGTCTACCCACATGCTTTAATCTCCTCGTCTCATGACCTCCTCCATGTCGCCCCACACTGGACGAACAACTCACCGCTTCCCGTTCAGGTTCCACTCGAGCGATGGCCTGGAATGTGTGATGTCACTTGATGGTTTTCTCAGAGTTTGGCCAATTCACCGCCATTTATTCCTGCAGATTTGTTGCATACTCGGTACCTGTTCGGTTCGCTTCCAGAGATCCCTGATGCTGATCTTTTCTGACCAGCCGTCTGATCTTGAATATTGAGTGAAGACAGCTGTTGATGAAAGTCTGCAGTTTGTTTGAAGTGCACTTCGTAACGCGCTGGCCAAGTCTCTGACTCGTACAGTAAGTAGCACTGACTTCACATTGGAGTTGAAAATCCTCATCTTATTTTCCGTGCTGAGTGGTGATCTCCACATAGACGTGAGCGTGGTGAAAACTTGCCTTGCCTTCCCTATCCTCGCTTTGATATCCTTGTCAGTTCCGTCCGCCCGTAGTTGAAACCATGGTTCCCAGTTATGTAGGTAGGTAGGTGGAGGAGGTTGTCTCTTTCAGATTTCTCCCATTTATGTTGGCTGACTGTTGTTTGTTACTGTTGCTGTTGGCCAGGAATCTTCATCACCTCTGTTTTGTCTGTGTCCATCTGAAGTGAAGTCCTATCTTTGATACTTCTCTTGCAAACCTGCTGCTTTTCACAAGGTCTAGATACCTGTTATTTATTACTGATGTTAATGATTTAAAGCTAAACTACGATGTGACATTGTGTACAGCTACTCGTCCATAATGTTGTATGATGGTGGGTTGTGTCGTGAAATAAGAAACTTGTCACCTGTAGATGACTAGACTCCTTTCCATTAGCTGAAAGTAATTCGATTAGTTGTGAAGCCTAGTGAAAGTCATAGGAGAGAATCAAGTGGAATGGAGGTACGCTGTTAAGGCGCAATGTTCCACTTGGAAATCGAACATAAATAATTATTTGATTGGTTGGAGGATTTCATCATGAGCTGACATCAGTTAGAGAACCATTGGAAAACCACCAGGGAGTACTCGACATCTGTTTCGTCCTAGTACTTGGGACTCTTCAGCAGTACGTATGCATACACACATATATACAGATAAAATTTCAGCGGAAATTTAATAGAAAATATTCCTATCCATTTTGTAATCCCCTTACTATTTCTTCAACTGAAACTATGGACTTATTTTGTTAAATTGCATAAATTAATCCCATTATTTCAATGTACATTGATTGTTACTATGACAACAAGCGAAATTCAATCATAAAAATGTATAGAAAGGAAATGTCTTACTGGTGGTCTCATTTGTGAAAATGTCTTCTAACAGTGACAAATGTTTCTGAGCAAAAAAAACTAACTCTTAAACATTTCTCAACTGTTAAGCTGCAAAGGAGAAAAAAAACCTGTAGGAGAACAAATTACGCAGTAATTATTGTTAACTGGTGTAAGTATATATGTATAGCAAGTTGGCCATTCAGTGGTAGAGATCTCGGAGACCACCCGTGTGGTTCGGGCTCGATTCCTGGCGGACACACGACCAGTGAAAAGTAAAAATTACAAAGAAACTCCCCCTAGATACAAAGGAGAAGATTTATAGCTTAGGTGGGTGATTTTAATGTAGTAGTATTCTCTAACCTGGATGGTATAGTTTAGAAGCTTTCATTGTCTTACTAGACAACAACATCAGAGCACACTTCTATTTGAAGTAAGCTTTTACAATTTTCCATGAGTTCATCAATCGTCTCATCTTGCAACCCTGGATGTGATTGGTTGTTTTTAAGAGTTTTCTCCCCTTCTGAATCACTTGTAATGGTACGGATTATTTCCACTCTCCTCCTGAGTTGAGGAGAATGGAATTAAAGTATCTTACGGTCATCTTCCAAAAAGGAGTATCCACGAGACGGCGTCAAAAGACATCTACTCTCGACCCATACAAACAAATCGAAAGTCATTTGAAAATTTCATTGAGTCGTATAAAAGAAAAAAGCATTCAGCGAAGAGTTACTCTTTTCAGTAATATTACTCCCAAGCTGCACAATCGCTTATATATAGTAAATTCCCTTAGCAACAAAAAGGGATATTTCTAAAGGTGTGTCATTAGAATTGTAAATTTCAGATAAATTACATAATGTAGGAAGAGTTAATGGGGTAGGAATTAAAATAAAATTAAATAAGTAATTTGAGTGATGTGATATAATTGCTGGGGTTGAGTAGAATTCAGCGTAAATTGATTGAAAAAGAGTGAAGTTAACAACAGTGGTAATAAGGACTAGAAATTTAATCAGAAGTGAGGAAAGGAAATGATACAATTAAGAAACAACAAACAAAAAATTACCTCTCCGGTACTAAGATAGTTCAGGCACATTGTAGATTTAATGAGTGAACAAACTTCTTCTGCATGCAGAGTTCGGAATTGAACATGTAAATTGTCATAGCTTCTGAGGTTTGAAGAAGTTTGATTCGTACTCGTTTAGCAAGATTCCGATGTATTCTGTAGATGACTTT